TGTGTGTGGGTGTGAGGGGTGTGAGGGGTGTGTGGCTGTGGGGGTGTGTGGCGGTGTGGGGGTTTGTGGGTGTGGGGGGTGTGTGGCTGTGGGGATGTGTGTGGGTGTGAGGGGTGTGTGGCTGTGGGGGGGTGTGGCTGTGGGGATGTGTGTGGGTGTGGGGGTGTGTGGACATGGGGGTATGTGAGGAGAGGGCAAGGGAGGACAAATACAGCTGTGCATGGCTTCTGATTTAAATTTGGACAAGAAGGTAATAAATCTGCAAAATACACACACAGCTGATTTTTTCCTGTAACTATTATCTACAGGCACAACATGCCTACCTGTCACGAGGTGAAGACCTGGGGCTTGGCTCTCGGTTGAACCTACCTGATGATGCCACCCTAGGAAAGTAAAGGAAGACTCCTGCTCCTAACCAGTGAAAAGCCAGGTTCTTTCTGCCCAGACTGACCCCAGGGCACCTGGGATCCCTGTTGTGGGCACTGTGTTTTGGAGCCATTCGACTCTAGTTCTCTGACCACCAATACTCACGCTTCCTGGTGGACGCCGCCTCCAACACTGTGTCTTCAAGGAGGGAGGGGGATGCGCTGCTGCTGCTGGACGACTTGTGCAGAGTCTCCTCCTGCGAAGCACAGGCAGAGGGATACACATTGCTGAGGCCAGAGTGCTTTCGTGCCACCTAATGGCATTTTACTACTAAGTCCTCCAGAATGGTGCACCGAATCATGGCAGAAGTTCATGGCAAGTAGAAGATAAACTAGAGGGGTCTAAAATTACGACAGTACTGGTCTGGGTCTTAGCTGTGAGACAATGAGCAAGTTTCTCATCTGTGAAATACAGTATATAACACAGGGTTATAGGAAGGAGTAAATGAGATATTGCATAGAAAATGCTTAACGCATTAGCTGGTATACATAATAATGGTGGTTAATAGTATCAGAGGACATTTAGCACATTTATTAAAGTGGTGAGACTTGAGCCCCAAGGAGGCAGAAGCTGGGTCTGCCACATCCATCACTGTGTATACCCAGTACCAAGCCCAGCACTTAGTAAGTAATGAATTAACATTCCTTGAATAAATTATGAAAATAAACATTTCATGAAATGTTACAAGTCTAGGCAAGAAAAAGCCTCTGTTTTAGACTAAACCAAAATGGAATACATTATTTATTCATTAAATATCTACTAAATACTATGTGACAGAGATATACATTAACTAGAAAACAGCTTATAATTTCTACTATAATATCTATAGAATACTAGCAAATATTTTTATATACAGAAGGAAGAAAATTAGAAAAATATATTCATACGTGACTATGTGAGATAGGAAGAATTGTCTGACCTTCTTAGCTAAAGTGGCTTTAAGAATTAGCCATTCACTCAACACTGGCCTTACCTAAACCCACTGCTGGATCTTTAGTTTCAAACAAGCTACAAAACAAAGCATATAGTCAAAGAGGGGGAAAAAAGGAATAAATCACACAGTTCAGACAAGGTCTGAATTGTGACCTCCAAACCCTCGGATCTTATCATGAAGAACAAACCAGGCAACGTAAGAAAAGCCTCTACCTGCTAGATACAGTATAGGTTTCATAAATTTCTGAAAAAGCTAGCAAGCAATTAGAACAATCTCCTGTTTATGGATGGTCAAAAGGAAATAAAGGACAAGAGTATTTCTTAGGAAAAGTAACAAAGCAGTCATGTACAGTGCTTCCCAAATAATTAGCGGAGAAGGTGGGAGCTACCCTGATTAAAACAGCAGGGACCATTCATCTACTTTACACTTATCTGCCACCTTCCCTACAAACACTTTTTAGAAATTTTGTTCATATATTTATTTTTAGAGAAACTGTTGCTCTGTTACCCTGGCTAGAGTGCAATGGTGTCATTGTAGCTCACGACAATCTCAAACTCTTGGTTGGGTTCCAGAGATCCTCCTGAGTAGCTGGGACTACAGGTGCTTGCCATGCCTGGCTAATTCTAAAAAAAAATTTTTTTTGTAGAGATGGGGGTCTCCCTATGTTGCTCAGGTTGGTCTTGGACTCCTGGCTTCAAGTGACCCTTCCACCTTGTCTTCCCTCCCTAAGTGCTGGAATTTCAGCAACCATGCCTAGCCTCTAGAAACACATTTTGGGGGTGGGGGGTGGGGGAGAGACTAAGTCTCACTCTGTCACCCTGGGTAGAGTGTTATGGTGTCATAGCTCAAAGCAATCTCAAACTCATGGGCTCAAGTGATCCTCCTGCCTCAGCCTCCCAAGCAGCTGGAACTATAGATACCTGCCACAATATCTGGCTAGTTTGTTTCTATTTTTAGTAGAGACAGGGTCTCGCTCTTGCTTAGGCTGGTCTCAAACTCCTGAGCTCAAATAATCCATATGTTTCAGTTTACTAGAGTGCTAGGATTATAGGCATCAGTCACCATGCCCAGCAATGCTGAATACTTTATTTTCATTCTTATAGACAGAATTGAAGTAAAAGTAAGACTAAAAATAGCCAGGCGCTATGTATGTGTGTGTGTGTGGGGGGGGGGGGCCCTGTAGTCCCCGCTACTCAGAAGGCTGAGGCAGGAGGATCACTTGAGCCCCAGAGTTTGAGGTTGCTGTGAGCTATGACACCATGGCACTGTACCACGGCAACAAAGTCAGACTCTACCTAAAAAAGAAAAAGCATATATTTAAGATTAAAAAACATGAACCCCAATTTAAGCATTATACAAGGTATCCATGTATCCATGTAATGAAAACATCTGTACCCCCTTAATATTTTGAAATAAAACCCACAAGAAAACCACATAGTATATTCATTTATAAAAAATGCTTTTACAGGCTGGATGTGGTAGCTGATGCCTGTAATTCCAGCACTCTGGGAGGCCGAGGTGGGAGTATCCCTTGAGCTCAGGAGTGTGACCAGCTTGAAAAGAAGTGGGACGCATCTCTACTAAAAATATAAAAATTAACCAGGCATCATGGTACACATTTATATTCCCACCTACTTGGGAGACTGAGGAAGGAAGATGTCTTGAACTTAGGAGTCTGAGGTGGTTCTGAGCTAGGCTGACACCACTGTACTCTACCCTGAGGGACATGGGGAGATGCTGTCTTTAAAAAAAAAAAAAGAAAGAAAGAAAAAAAAAGCTTTTACAAAAAGATAATTCAGGTTTGGCATTAGAATCTGATATATCTTTTTTTATTTTTGAGACAGAGTGCCACTTTGTCACCCTGAGAAGAGTGCTGTGCTGTCATAGCTTACAGCAACCTCAAACTCCTGGGCTCAAGTGATTCTCTTGCCTCAGCCTTCTGAGCAGCTGGAAGTATGCCCAATATTTTTAGAGATGGGATCTCACTCTTGCTCAGGCTAATCTTGGAACTTGTGAGCTCAAGCAATCCACCACCTCAGCCTCCAAGACTGCTAGGATTACAGGCATGAGCCACTGCACCCAGAAGAATCTAATGTATCTTGAATTACACAATGCACATACAAGACACTGAAATGTTATAAAGAATTGTCTTAAATTTTAAATTGCTCCCATTAAGTTGTTGATGGTCCTCTGTTTCTGCCTGCCCAGGACATAGCTGCATGCAATTTTTTGACTGCTTGAAAACTAATCTCAAGGACCGTCTTTGCCTCTGGGAAGGGGAAAGAGAGAATGTGTGGACATTGGCTGTGCTAGTCAAAGGTATAGGCACATGCATGTAGACTCCTGCCTCAGTCCATCCCTGCTCGCTGCTCACTCTTGCCTGTCTGGGGAATTCTGATGGGGCTCTGACATCTCTTCTGCTACCTGGCCTCTGTTTGTGGTCTGGTCCCAGTCACCGGCTCTGTCCTCCCCCAGCAGGTCTTCTCTAGTGAGCCTGTGGCAGCAGGAAAGCCCCCTGCCCTGCTGGTTTCCAGGAGCTCTGTCACCTGATACTGTAGAGTTATCTCAGAGGCCCGCCTGGGCACCACACTGACTCAACAAGAATGGAAATCTTCCCTTTCCTGAAAAGAAGCTCCTTTGCTCAGCTTTCCTACTGGAAGCAATGATATGGCCACAGTCAAGTTACCCAACAGAGGTTAGCTAAGATGAAGATGAGCCAGAAACACAGAAGCTAGATTTTCAGGAACTGAAAAAAAGAGGAACAGAAAAATGCCTGGTATGGAGGGTCTAGTTTAATAGTGTTCTGTGACTGACACCTCACACGGCTTCTTTTCTAACTGGTCTGTACCTCTACTAGGGGCTCAGTTTTCTCACTGAAAAGTAAGAACGCTGCACAAAATTCTAAGGTTCTTTCCAGTGAATAAGTAGAAAGAAAAAAGCTTAGGAATTCTTTTCTTTTCTTTTTTTTTTTTTTTGTAGAGACAGAGTCTCACTTCATCACCCTTGATAGAGTGCTGTAGTGTCACACAGCTCACAGCAACCTCCAACTCCAGGGCTAAAGCAATTCTCTCACCTCAGCCTCCCAAGTAGCTGGGACCACAGGCGTCTGCCATAATGCCCGGCTATTTTTTGGTTGCAATTTGGCCGGGGCCAGGTTTGAACCCACCACCCTCGGTGTATGGGGCCAGCACCCCACTCGCTTTCTTTAAGAAAGATAGGCTGGGTGCAGTGGCTCGTGCCTGTACTCCCAGCACACTGGGAAGCTAAGATGGGAGGATCACTTGAGGGCAGGTGCTCAAGACCAGCCTAGGCAACATACCCAGACTCTTGTCTCTACAAAAATGAAAGAAAAAAAAATAGCTGGTTGTGGTGGCCTGTGTCTATAGTCCTACTGTTAGGAAGGCAGAGGTGAGGCAGGTGGTACATGTAGCCCAAGAGGTGACGTTGTAGTGAGCTATGGGCACACCACTGTATTCTAGCCTGAGCAATAGAATGAGACCCTGCCTCTGGGGATAAAAAAAAGAAAGAAGAGGCTGAAGCTTGAAGAGGTAGGCAGGTGTTGCTGGGGTCGGGTGTACAGGGCTAACAGTGTCAGTCCACACCCGACAGCTTAGCTCCCTGGCAGCACCCACTCTAGTGATGAACTCAGGCTCCTGGCCAGGCTTTTAGGGTCAACAGGGCAGGGCCACTTGTCTCATTCACTGTCATGGCTGACTCCTAGCATGGTGGCTGGTATCCAGAATTACCTGGGAAGGTGTGGAGGGGCTCAAAGGCCGAGGCCCACAGTTTAGTGCAGTGTTCCCATGACCTTGGCTAAGATTTCAGCAGGCAAGGTTAAGATGGCACAGTATGGCACGACATTTTCCCAAGGTCACAGCTGCAGAGTTGAAACAAATAATGTTCACTTGGCTTTGATTTTGATGCCACCAAAATCAGGGGCAAGCAGATCCCTGAAGCAACAAAATCCACCACCAGCAGGCCACTGCTTGCTCAGGGAAGGCACTGTGCTCACTCGAAATGAGTTTTCAGGTGATCCAGCTGCCCTGTTCCCAGGGCATGCCCATGACAAGGCACAAAGGACACTGAATCAGCTTTTGGGATTTTCTAGTGTATCAACAGGATTGGAAAATTCTTTGTCCTATGGAGACTTCCATCGTAGAAGCATTTGCTTTAATAGGTTCACCTCAGAACCAAGAGGATTAAAGGATCCCACCTCCTCGCCAGTTTTGTTATTAGAAAGATAGTGATTTTGATACAAAATAGGAAGAAACTACAGAATCACAGGAGTCATAATCCGTATAAGACCATGTGTGAGTACTGACTGCTGACTGCTACAGACATCTCAGCTCATCCTGTGGTGCCACATCCCCGCTCTTCAGCCTCAAGAGACTTGGTCCTTCATGGGCCGAGCACTGGGCTCAACCAGGTCTCCAGATTCCTGACCACGAGGTGCCAGTACTTCATATCACCCGATCCTCTTGTCCAGGTCTAACGTGACAGCCCCCAAGGAATGGGACCAAATATTCCTTTTGCCAACTGAGGGGGGCAGCAGAGTAGCAATGGCTAAAGGCATGGCCTCTGGGACCAGACGGTGTGGGTTCAGACCCCAGCTATCCTGCTGCCGTGTGTGGACCCTGCTCCAATTCCTCAGCCTGAGACCACCTGCTTGCCTGCAGAGTAACAGCAGTTAACTGCTGCTGTGCACAGATTTCTTCTAAGTGCCACACACTCCCAACTTTCTCCTGCAGGAACTTGTTTAATCAAGATGACAGGCTCTCACTCTAGGAGTGATGGAGATGAATAAATGGAAGTATCTGTGCAGTGGGCAGGCAAAAAGCACAGCCTGAACTCAGAAGCCGCCAGTGTGTGTGAGAGTGGGACTCGCTTGGCTTGGCTCCCTGCTGTGTCTTCATGGGACTGGGCAACAGCTGGGCACGAGGTACCCCTGTGGAGAAGACCAAAGTCCAGCCTGTGCAGATGCCTGTGCTCCACAGGGGCAGAGCAGCAGCCAGACAGGAGACTTCCGAGGCAGAGGTCTCTGAGTCCCATGGCATTGGGGACACAGCCCTACCTCCATTCTGGAGCCTCCAGGCCTGCTGGTCCTCCTCTATGAGGTCAGCCACTAGGTTCATGCGGCAGGCCTGAGCGCCTCCACCAGGCAGGCCACCATCGCCGCCTCCTTCTCTGCATTCTTCCAGACTCTCAGGGACTCCCTCACCCAGTCCATCAGGTTGCGGGGATATCTCTCCTCGATGCCATCCATCTTGGCGTCAGAGACTTTAAGCTGACGAGCCAGCCGTTTCTAGTCCTTCCCTACATTGTCACATATGATGTCAAATGCTGCACGCAGGTCTGGAGCATAGAAACTGGAGCTCGGTTAGCTCACTGCTCAACAGGCTGGCGGACACTGAGTGCAGCAGCACCAGGAAGGGGTCCATGGTGGTGACCGTGGGCTGCGGGCTGGCGGGGCTCCGACCTGGTGCTCTTCGTGTGCCTGCCACTCACAGCTGGGCGCCACTAGTCGGGTCTTGTTACTAGTTCCCTGGCCTGCGGCCCAGTGGTCTCCAGCTCTGGTCACTTCTGTCTAGATAAACTATTTCTAACCTCTATAGAGAGATGTAAGGTTTCTGGGTCACTAACAACAGACAAGTCTAATGGCCAGTATTGCCCACTGTTTCCACCAACAGGTCAGTACGACTGGCCAGTGCCAATCAGTCAGTCCCAGGGGTTTGGGTTTAACAAAGGGTTTCTGTAGCTCTCTGAGGTCAGTGAAGGAGGGGGCGGTGGCAGGTGGGCAGGCTCTAGTCCCACCTTTGCTTCTCTTTGACTGACACTACCCTTCTGTGTGAGTGTTATGAAGAAAAGTTTTGGTGCCTAAAAAAGTATTTGGAAGGCACCTGTTAAATAGGAGAGAAAAAATGGAAAAACAGGTGGTAAAGTTGAGAGGGAAGAAGACAAGGAGGAAGGCCAGCTTTTCCTGAGACTCCCTTTTATTTGCTCTCTACTGCCTTCCATGGCTCTGAGGTAGAATGTGCTTGAGTAGGGGGAAAAATTACTATAAAATGTGAAGAAAGTCTGTGTAACATGATGTGGGGTGTATCTAACAGTAACTGTATTTGTGGCCATTTATAAGAGAAAAAATACAAGCTAAAGGAAACCTATCTTGGTTCAGCAATTTTCTGACATCAGGAATTAGTAAAGGTGGGGGAAAGAATACCCATCCATTAATCAAGAAAAGGTTGAATTCCACAGTATCTTTTCCATTTTCATACTTCTGGGGTACAACTGCCAAGTTTTAGACCTAGAAGAGACCTACAGGCCAGGGAGCCCAGATCCTTTACCAGGTGCAGGGCATGCTGAAGGCAACAAGGCACAGCGCCCGCTCTGGTGCCCTGTGCACACACTCAGAGCTGGGGCCAGGGTGGGTGCCATGTGCAGAACTGCCGTCACCGATCACAACCTAGTTTGGGTTTCCAGGTACTTCTTGCATGTCTACATAAGTGTCAGTTAATTACCTGGTTTCACAACAGACTTTTTTTGAGTTGGATTTAACCAGCTGATAGAGAATTTGACAGCAGCTAACTGAGGGGACCGTTGTCTGCACTGTCCCATGTGGTCCCCCTTAGCCATGGGTGTCTCCTGAGCACTTGAGCACTGTGACTAAGAAACTGAGTCTCTTCAATTATTTCATATAGTTTAAATAGCCATACACGGCTAGTAGTGACAACTGGACAGTGTAGAGCTCTGTCCAGATGACCCCTGAGCTAGATGCTATTTAAATAGTTCTTGCAACCAGGCAGTGGCTCACACCTGTAATCCCAGCACTGTGGGAGGATGAGGAGGGAGAATTGCTTGAGCTCAGGATTTCAAGACTTGCCTAAGCAAGAATGAGATCCCAACTCCTAAAAAAATGGAAAAACCAAGCCAGGTGCCGGGGTGAGCACCTGTAATCCTGGCGGCTTCCGGAGGCTGAGGCAGCAGGATGCCCACAGCTCAAGTCTGAACTTGTGGTGAGCTATGATGCCAATGCACTCTGCTCAGGGCATAGGGTAGGACTCTGTCTCAACAAAAACAAAAACAAACAAACAAAAAAAAAAAAAAGCAAAGAAATAAAAATAAAAAATAAGCAAGGAAATAAATCGTTCTTGCAGGTCAATGCCTGAATGTCCACTGGATATTGTTAGAGGCTGAGGATGCAAGTGAACTGAGCACAGCTCCTCTTCTCAGGGGCTTGTGTTCTGGTGGAGAGACAGAAGTTAAGTGGATAATTATACAACAAAGTGCTAAGTGTGCCAGTGTCACAGAGGATGAATGACTACAGAATCACAGAGAAGGGGTCCCGATGGGGCAGTGGTGTCAGAGAAGATGCCTGGAGAGAAGGCGATGCAGTCCTGACTCCTATAGGGACATGGGGCAGTGCAGACACGGCTGCGCATGTGCAGGACGAGGGCTGCAATCAGACCAGGTGTCAGCAGGCACCTGACATGACCTGGGGACAGGAGGTTTATCCTGCAACAGGGAGCCCTCCAAAGGTTTTAAGCAGGAGTACCAAGGACTCTGGTGGTATACACAAGGTAGAATTTGGGAAGTCAAGAAGAAAGTTCAAATAGACTGACGAGACAGCAAGAGAATGAAAGCAAGACTGAGGACTTTTCTTTACGTTCCCAAGGATTGAAACACCTTCAGTAGCACAATTACTATCATTGGTATTGCTTGGATGGGGGCAGAGACTGGTTCTGCAGATTCTACTTTGGATGAACATGGGGAGGATGGAGCCAGCAATTAAGACAGTGAGAAGATGAGATGCTGTGTGCACATGTGCTTCCGGAGTTGGTCGGGCAAGCAGGCGAGGGAGAAAGGAAGGAAGAAGACAACTGAATTTTGCAGAAGTTGATTTTGAAGGACAGGCAGTGGGTCCAGCAGGCAACCACACACATAGCTCTGATACCACTGACAGAGGCTTGACAAAGAGGGAAGGAGGCACAGCATATAGGTGGGTGTTGAAATCAGCAAGGATGTGAGATTTTTTTCCCCCAAAAAAGGCAGTAAGTAAAGGATGAAATCTGGGATCATCATTAGGGTCTTCTTTTCAGAAGTTTCTGTGTCAGGTTACCGTTAGAGGAAGTGATCCTGAGTGTGGGGTGTGTGCATGCATGCATACTTTAGTGGGAGAACAGTCTGTGGAAATATGTTTTCTGGACTTTATATTTTTCCTTCTCAAAACAAAAGGGAAGGGGTGGTGCCTGTGGCTCAAGGAGTAGGGCGCCAGCCCCATATGCCGGAGGTGGCAGGTTTAAACCAGGCTCCAGCCAAAAAAAAACTGCAAAAACAACAACAACAACAACAAACGGAAGATATTAGGTAATATAAGCTTGAAAACTGCAGATTTATTTTAACTTTACCTATACTTTAAGAGTATATTGAAAGTCTAGTATCCATTTTAAAAGCTACAGCACTACATTGGTCTTTACAGATAACAGAAAGTAATCTACCATTTTATTTCCTAGTAATCAAATTAGTGTTAATGCTAATTTTATTGACTAACTCATGGGAAGAAATTAAGCAACAACTGAAGCAACACAGTTATAGTACAGTGGGTCAGAGCACGTTAAGCACCCTGGACATGAGAGTCAAGGTGTGTGGATGGCCTCACCTCTGACTCTGAGCTGTCCAGCTCGGCCAAGGTGGGGGCTTTCAGGAGCTTCTTCCTCTGCACAGGCGCCTGTTGTGCCGTATTTAACCCATTTTCTGTTGTTTGTGATGACAAATCTCCATTCAGCACAGATGATTCTACAACATTCTTTGGAGATTCAGGGGCAGGTACATCTGGGAAAGAAAGACAAAAGCAGACCTTTTCTTGAGCCAACAAAGGTAACTGGTGTTAGAAGCACATGTCAGGTGACAAGGCATTTTCGTGTTATACAAACTCAACACAAAGGCTTGACACAGGATGCCTTGTCTGTGTATATGAAACATTGTTTTGTTAAATATTAATTGTCAGATTTGATTAAAGGGAATTTTAAAATGAATAATTTATATTCACATTTGTAGATTAAAAGCCTACAGATAAGATTCAGACTTCTTTATTTTCCAGATGAAGAAACTGAAGTTTAGAGAAGCAAGTTTTGCTTTAGAACCTCCATGGATTTAAGTTTTACTAGGTATATTGCTGTAAGATTTAAAAGTGTTTTGGTTTAAAAATCAAAACAGCTAATAATCTATATTCATGTAAACATATTTAATATAAACAGAAAGAGTCAGGGATACATTTTTCCTCTGATAAATATAATTTATTAAGAGTTCAAATTTGGATAGGAAGGTAATAAAACAAATGAAAGAAAATGAGGTCAGCTGCAGTACAGTGTGATGTGGACTGGCTGGGTCTCTGCGGCTGGGTGCTTCCCTCTGAGCAAGCGGCCTGCTCTCTGTTTCTTTACCCATAACAACAGATGAAGGCTTGTTGTGAGGATTAAACGGGTGTCAGCTGCATGTGAAACACTGTGCCCAGGAGCGGCAGTGTGCAGTGAGTATCAGCAACTACTCACACTGCTTGGACTCCCCTTTGTGAGCACTATGGGCTCTGACTGACCTGTCCAGAACTGCACAGTTGGTGTTATGTCCAAGCTGACGTGGAGCCCTTGTTGAGATAGAAAGGAGATGCATTTTCTTCAGTATTTCAGATGAAGAGTTAAACATGGACTAAATACTACAAAAGTATTCAAAGTCAAAAAAGAAGCAGCCATGGCAAGATTTATAGACTTGGATAACGAACAAGCTGCTTTCTGCACATGGATAGTCTGTCAAGCTACTATAGTTGGGGCCAAAGGGGCTCTAAATACTGAAGTGAAAAAGACAGGATTAGTGCTTCTTTAGGAAGGGGGAGCACTGTATGAGAGTTACAGAATACAGGAATGTTCTACTTACAGTAGCCCCCCCAGTGCTATTTACATGCTTGAAGGCTGAGGGGTGGAATTCCAGGAAAACATTCAGTGCACCTGTGTACAGCTTTCCTTGACGTTATTGAAAAAAAACATGAAATTATTTATTATAATAAATGACATATATCTTATTTAATATTTATGATTTCTGTCCATTTTAAGAGACTGAGAAAGCTCTGGCCTCCTGTGAACTTGCCCCTGTGGACTTGAAGAAAGGGGCTGGAAAAGACTGAATGGAAAGACAAGACAGGAGGAGGGAAGGAAAGAGGAAGGTGCTGTTAATCACTTATCACGTTAGGCAGAAATTTCAATAGAGAACTTGACAACATGCACACATGTATCTGATTATTCTCTTCCTAGATATTAAGTATCCAGAAGAAATAAATAATTGGTGATGGTGAGGAGTGCTGAAAGGGACAAAAGGGAAAAAAGCAGCAAGGTTTTATACAAATTACTAAGGTTAAAAATCTTTCATAAGTATCTTAAAATTTTTCCAGAAAATAAAAGAGGAAGTTACTGGGGTGATTAAGTTACTGTCCTGTTTAAGAAAAAGGGTAGTTAAGTGTGTAAAGATAGTTTTTTAAAAAGAGCATATTTAAAAAATCTTATTCTATAGTGCACTTTAACTATATACAGGGTGACCATTAAGTTCGCGTACAATTGCACACGAACTTTATGGTCATCCTGTACATTTCCTATAGAACAGCAGTTCTCAACCTGTGGGTCGTGACCCACAGGAAGTGTATTAAAGGGCCGCGGCATTAGGAAGGTTGAGAACCACTGCTATAGAATTATTCCTATTGTAGTTATCTTCCCAGAGAAAGCACAAATACTTAGAATACACACATCTTTCACTTTCTTAGCTACTCACATTCCAATAGAGGGTCCCACCATTTACCTGGTAGCAGCTCACTCCCCAAACTGAGGGTAGAGTAATAAGAAGAACACAGCCAGCTACCCATGCTGCCCAGCCAGACCCTCCCTAACAGTGGCACTGTCTCTTAGCACTGGCAGTGCCAAGAGGAACACTGACACAGTTTGAACGGTTATATATTTTAATATGATGCAGAAAAAATATAACTGCAATATCAGATCCATGATTTCATGGGCTTACTGCTTAAGAAATTTTTAAATCATTTATGGTAGATTAAAAGTTTTAAGTAGTACTAGTGGCACTTAAGGCTGGCAAAAATCCTAAAGATGCCGTATGCACTGAAGTCCAGAGAACACTGTCAAGTGACGGCTGCTTCCTTGAATCCATTTCATCCTCAATGCAGAGGATTTGGGAAACTGTCCAATGTTCTCTAACTGACTAAACCCTGTGCTACGAGATCAATAACTGGAATTTTAGCTCACTGACTGAAAACTACTGAAATGAACACCTGTACTAAATTCAAAGCTTTGAGAAAAATGAAACGAAAACTAGGTTATATAAATGTAAGGTTTCAGGATGATCTCCATAGATAGGACTAAATATTGCATATGACTTTATCTCATATTACATATTTGTAAAAGATTTATAGAATATGTATGAATGTATTATATGTATTAATGTATATATCTGTGTCTATATGTGTGTCTATATGTATTTTTTGTGAGACAGTGTCTCACTCTGTCGCCCAAGTGGGAGTGCAGTGGTGTGATTATAGCTCACTGTAACCTTGAATTCCTGGGCTCGAGTGATCCTCTTGCCTCAGCCTTATAAGGAGTGAGTCTACAAGTGAGTGTCACCACACCTAAGTAACACTTTAACATTTTTTTGGGTAGAAATGGGGTCTCCCTGTGCTGCCCAGGCTGGTCTCAAAACTCCTGGCCACAAGTGATCCTCCTGCCTTGGCCTCCCCAAAATGTTGGAATTATGGATGTGAGCCATCACATCAGACCTCAGTTGAACATATTTTTTTTTTTTTTTTTTGAGACAGAGCCTCAAGCTGTCCCCCTGGGTAGAGTGCCGTGGCATTACAGCTCACAGCAACCTCCAACTCCTGGGCTCAAGCGAGTCTCCTGCCTCCGCCTCCCAAGTAGCTGGGACCACAGGCACCCGCCACAACGCCTGGCTATTTTTTGGTTGCAGCCGTCATTGTTGTTTTGGCGGGTCCGGGCTGGGGATTCGAACCCGCCACCTTAGGTGTACGTGGCTGGCGCCTTAGCCGGTTGAGCTATAGGCGCCGAGCCAGTTGAACATATTTTTAAGGAGTTTGTGTACTTATGTATTTTTATGTTTAAATGGACAAATCCTTCTTATTACTTCAACGTATCAAATAAGAAAACCAAATACTCCTATCTTTTTCTTAAGTTAGTATTTCTTGAGGAAAAACTGGTGATATTTGTTAGCAAAATATTTAAGATGTGAAATATTTAGATATAGTTTTAGAAAGCACAAACTTTAGGTTCAGAACTTAAAACACGTACTGATGATATTAAACACTTTCCATAATAACTGTATGTGTGTCTGGTGCCTTATTTAGTGGGAGGAAATGTGACTAGAATGCAGATTATATAGGTAATATTTGCATAGAAAAAATATATTATACTTACCACGAGTGATGCTGAGTGGATTAAGATTCTAAGATCACTATTTCTAAGATATACTTATGCAGGAAAATATACTTCATTACTTCTACACTTAAGGTCAGAGTTGTTATTTAGACTACATGTTTGAAATGTTTACTTATCAGGTTTTTCATTTCCAACTCAGAAAATACACTCTAATCTTTGCATTTAAGTTGGAAGAACGAATCAATCTTTTCCATTTATAATTCAGGACATTTTAATTACTAATCAAAATGCAACAATGAAAACCATAAAAGCAACACAACCAATAAAGAATGAAGCACTTAGAAGTCAGAAGTACACTAAGTCACGAAAGGAATTGTAGCAAATGACACAGTGAAGCCAAATAATTCTTTGCTACTCTTTTACATCTAAAAGCTTTCTTCTCAACACAGACCCCTCTACAGCCTGTAAGCACACAGAACACACTTATCTATAAGGTGTGAGCATATAGACTGTCTAGACTAGCCAAGTGAGCCTTATTTATGAGCCAGCAGTCAATATGTTTAAATAGCCAACTAATGCAAACATTGTTAGTAGATATTCAGAAGAGAAAGAATACCTGTAATGGATATTGCCAACCTTTGGAGATTAGTAGTAACACATATGTTCCACAGTGTTTCTGGGTTTCTTTTTTTCCTTTCATTGTTTTTTGAGAGAGAGTCTTACTCTGTTGCCCAGGCTAGAGTGTTGGGGCATTAGCCTAGCTCACATCAACTTCAAACTCCTGGGTTGGAGCGATCCTCCTGCCTCAGCCTCCTGAGTAGCTGGGACTATAGGCACCCACCACAACACCTGGCTAGCTTTTCCTATTTTTAGTAGAGACAGTGTCTCAATCTTGCTCAGGCTGGTCTCCAAGTCCTGAGCTAAAGTGACCCTCATGCCTTGACCTCCCAGAGTGCTAGGATTGTAGGTGTGAGTCACTGTGCTGGGCTCTAAGTTTATTTTTCAGACCAAAATTTTTACAAGGTCACTCTGCAAATGGTTGACAAAATAAAAAATTGACAAATGGATAAAGAAAATAGAAAAAGCTCTTTAGTGATCAGTCAAAAATAAGTGAAGATTATAAAACAATGGAGTCATGCCTGAGGCCTACAAAAATAGAAAAAAAGTTTAAAAACAATTGGGAACTAATTTTGTAGTTGAAAGATACTAAGTACTTACATACAACATGACATTAGAACCTTCTGGGTCTTTTAAATATGAATTCATATATAGCATATGCCAACAATTCTCTGTCTCTTAAGAGGTACTCCATGGCATTTAATAGAAAGTTCTGGAAGAAAATATTACCACATCTTATCTCATTTTATATTAAAAACATCAGCTTCTAAA